TACAACTGGTCATGGGTGGATGAGGGGTGGGACAAACGTCATTTCAGCAGGACAGGTCGCAGGTTCGATCCAAGTATGATCAGTATTGCAGAACGCTGATCGTGCTTCTCCTTAGAGTAGGGTAGTTGTGGCAATTTGTTATTTGATTTATTTGCTTTCATTCACTTGTCGAGATCTTGAAGGTCGTATTCACACTTAGAGCAATTTGACTGACAGTGGTCGTGTTCGAGGTCACATACATGAGAGAGTATTGCAATCTACATCTGATGATCCTTGGGTTTCCGTAGTTAATGGAAACCTTGTCGGTGGGTTAATTTCACCCCCTCAGGGGACGTAAGTGCTGGCGGGAACGGTGTTCTGGCCCCCCACTTCAGCTCGCCTGTTGTTATCTGTTAATTTTGCCCCCGCTTTTCGGGTGCCTCCCTTCTGTGCTTCTCTCTCTCTCTCTCTCTCTCTCTCTCTCTCTCTCTCTCTTGCCTCTGTATCTTTAATTCTTACCGCTCCCAGGAGAGTGCAAGGAGTTCCATGTTGAAAAGAAATCCCCAAAAGGGAGTAGAACAGAAGAATAGGCCAATGAGAAAGTTAGTGGGGATGGCGCATGGAGCTTGTTAGTTTGCACGAGAAACTCTCGTCAAATTTTTAAATCTTGTAGTTCGCCCTCGTGTTGATATTTTTTTCTTGCTCCCGGTTTCTCTGTGCCGTGGATGGGTGCTGATTATGCACATGAGCCCAGATATAACTTCCTAGTAGAGGACTTGCCTGTTATTTGAAGTCCTCTCGTTGTTCCTTCATCACTCTTATCTGTCAATAAATGGGTCACTTCAATGGCGATCTCCAAGTCTACATACACATGCCTTGGTGTCGTGTGGTTATGCCATGGATTTCATCTGCATCATGCGTATACCTACTATCCAGTTGACCGAGGTGATGAACCTTGTGCACATCCGGTCCTAGGGTCTTCATCTGATCTGGCTATCGATGACTAGCTATTCGACGTCGATGGTTGGACATGGCTCTTGCATCGTCTTTGCCAGACCTTTTCGCCCCTTCCTTCTGGAAGGTGTCATGAGCTGTAACTGATGTGGGCATCAACTCCTTTGCGGATGTAGCCCCTGCAGTGGTTCGAGTTCCTTGTGCCTTCGCGCGAAGTCAATTCGCGTTCCTTGTGCCTTCGCGCGAAGTCAACTCGCATTCCTTGTGCCTTTGCACGAAGTCAACTCGCCTTTGTTTGCGGAGAATGACGCAACCTTCGCCAAGCGGGCTGGAGACTGCTGAGACGGCGGGTGCTCAGTAGCAGGCCTCACTGAAAACATGCAAGCCTGTCGTCACACCGACATTCCAGCTGTCCCGTCTCTGCACCATTGATCGGCATCCTATCATGTCTCAGCTCTCTGAATTTCCCCTTCCATGAAAAACATATTATGTGCCACATCATAACCACATGGCTTACGTCTTCACCTGCGGTTTCTTCTGTCTGTTGCTCTGTCGATCGACATCTTTCTTCTAGGGGGCACTCCAGACCAGCCTCCTGGGGAGACCCCTAATCAACTTGCTTCTGTGGGTCCATCACCAAATTATGTCTGAGACTCCTTGCCTGCTGAATAACTGCCTGCAATTGTGGCATTTGCTCACCGTCCAGTGCGTCCACCCAGTGTGTGGATGGTGCCCTTCGCTTTTCCGAGACCCGGCTCAGGAACAACTGTTCAGTCACGTGCAAGTAATCTCCGGTTTGCTTTGATCCCCGTCTGGACATAATTACCAGCCGTCCTGGTGCCGGTAACTTTCGAGTAACCAAGCATTTGGTGGATTGCTACAGTAAAAAAAGCTACTTTCGAGTAACCATTCCGGTGTGCTTTCGAGCAACCATTCATGGGTTACCTGATACTGCAGTCTTTCGTGGATTGCTACGGTAAAAAAAGCTACTTTCATGGGTGACCTGATACTGCAGTCTTTGGTGGATTGCTGCAGTATATAAAGAAGCTACTTCTGTACTTGAATGCGAATGCGAGTGGAAGGTAAGTACTGCAGTTTTGGCGAATTACTGCGGTATATAAATAGCTAGCTACTTTTGTACTTCAGTTTCGAGAAACTTTCCATGCAAATTGGAAGATAGACGATTCAGTAGTTGTGCTGACGGAGTGAGTGAAGTCTAATTTCTTTTTCGCTGGGTATTGCTCTTTTCCATGCTACGATGGATGCTTCCTTCAAGCCAAGCATGTTGGGAAAGTGATGCCCGGGGTGGAAAAGCAAGACCCCCAAATCCTCAGATTATCACGACTGTTATTTTAACAGTTTGAAACAGTAGTTTTAGGTCGATGGTTGCGTCAGCGAGGGTGAAAGATGTGGCTACACTGGTTATATAACTGGCCTGGCATGTTTTGGGGGGCCTGATCCATCGGTTGGCTAGTTTGGGCTCTGCTGAGCTAGTTCGGGCTCTGCTGAGCTGACGAAACTGCAGTTGTCGACTGTTTGATTAATTTTTTAGTGTGTGGTTAAGAATGCAATGGTGAGAGGTTTCAGGGGACTCCTGGGATTTGCGAAAAGCAGGACTCCATGATGTTCATGACAAAGTAGAATTTTGATGTAAAAGGGATTTGCGAAAAGCAGCACCCTATGATGTTTATGACAAAGTAGAATTTACAAGGAGATTGTTATGATGTTTATTCTGTCCGGATTGAAAAAATGTGGACAAAGTCTTCGAGTCAGTGTTCAGTGCTTTAAGAGAGGCGCTCGTGGTTTTCATGAGAGCCAGGGCTTATTCTTTTAATGTTCCACTTTGTAGGTTATAGTTCTGCAGTTCTTCTGGCCAACCTTTTCCCATTCGTCTGTGATTCTCATCCAGGTCGTCAGTTACTCCTGTGCGAGGCTACGCCCGCTTAGCCCCTACGGGGCCCTATCTGCAACAAGGTAGGCCGCCCTAAGTGAAGGCAGGCCCTGGGAAAGCAGTTGGGCCCTGGGCTGGATACGGGTACCAGGCCAAACACAGGCCGAAAGCAGTTGGGCGCATGCAACCACTTCAGGCCCCAGGCCTGCTCCCTTCGTGACTGGGCCTGTGCCTACCGGGGCCTAACGGAAGTTTCCTGGACTGGACGCAGGCAGGCCACTTCGATATAGGGAAGGGCGAAGTGGCCTGCCTCCTCATTCGGCATTCGGGTGCTGGCTGCATGCTGCGTGAGCGCTGCTGCGCAATCCGCTGGCTGGCTGGCACTCACGCTCTCACGGGCGAGTAGGAGGGAGCACGCAGCCATAGCCAAGCTGCGCTGCTGTATGCTAGGTGAAGCGCAGGGTGGTCCTTGGGGTGCTAGTGGCATCTGTGCGGTGTGGATCGGGGTTGTGAGTGTTA